GATTGGTCCGGTAAAATAAGATTATTAAACTATATCCATACATAATATTATAAAACTGAAAGTGTATTTGTTTGTTTGTTTGTTTGTTTGTTTGTTTGTTGTTTGTCCTTCTTTCGCGTTAAAGCAGAGTGACGGATTGGCATGATTTTTTGTGTGGAGATAGTTGGAGAGGTGGAAAGTGACATATGCTACTTTTTACCGCGGCAGATTATCTTATTCCCACGGGAAAACACGTTATAATATAACCCACTTCTACTCATTATACCTATATATATAATATATGTAAAAGCAAACCGTGGACTGCGAATAGTTCATTTACCTATATTCATTTTACTATACGATGTAAAAAATTATTATCAATGAATACGGAACCTAAAATTACTTTAAATGTATTTTCAATCTTGAAAAATTTATCTCTAAAATTATCAACCGTCCTTTGCATCGGTAAGTACTTATTTATTACAACTGTTGCAAGCGATTACATTATAATTTACACGTAACATAATACTTACGTGATGGTATGGATGCTGTTTTGTTCCGGGTGTATCGCAAATCAATGAGATGAAAATATTCCTATATTATTATTATTATTTATCTTATATCTTATTTTATGTAACAAATACATTTTTTTTCTCTGAATCTGCAAAATCGATAGGGACAGATTACTCTTCTATTTTTAACCGACTTCCAAAAAGGAGGAGGTTCTCAATTCGTTGGACGTCTTTTTTCTTTTATGTATGTTCACCGATCACTCGAAGACGCCTGAACCGATTTGGATTTTTTCGTTTCATAGGGTATACTTCCCAGGTGGTCCCGTGTAAATTTTATCGAAATCGGTTGAGTGGTTTTTAAGAAATCAACAATAAATTATTTTTTTAAATAAATTGTTCAATAGAATATGTTATTAAAAAACTTTCTTCTTACAAATTACCTGCTTATTACGTCTACACTAAAAATGGAAAAATAAATACTTTAAAAAAAGAACCGACTTCCAGGCACTAAAATGTAAAAAATAACTAAACGGGGGTTTTCATTTAGAATAGATACCTAATCAGATATTTTCGAAGTCGCTGCCAGTCGACAATATTTTAAGATATGAATATGTAGATAGGTAAATATGTATTTTACGTATCGAAATATATTAGATTTGCTTTGCATCGGCTAGCACCGACTTTTTACTGCGGGAAAATATATCATCTCTGATAAATCTATACTAAACGTTAAAAGGTAAATAGGGACGAACCCGAGCGGAGCGAAGGTGAGTCGCTAGTAATTAATATACAAGTCATGTATACTTGGAGCTGTGGCAAGAACTCTAGCTGCATTCCCCTGTTGAATCGCAATGATTCTTGAAGCAAAAAAGGGGTCAATTCTCTTCTCATCGGTGATGATGAAACGAGGATATTATGTTTATAAGATTATTTTACTGTTAGCGATTATTTTGCTGTAAATTTTTCGTACGCGCAACGTTTTGATAATTTTTCACTGATTGCTTTAAACTCTTGACAATATACCTAAGTTTATAGTGACCCTACTTGCTATGCCAGCGGTCGCGGGTTCGAGTCCTGCTGGGGACATTCATTTGTGTGATGAGCTTGAATGTTTATACTCTCTAGTCATGGGTGTTTATATTTATAATATATAGGTATGTATTTAAAGTTATATGTGTGTAGTGTATCAAATATCTGGTACCCATAACACAGGCCTCGTAGCTTACCATGGAACTAGATGGTGATGTGTGTTAATATCCCAATATATTTATATTTATTTATAAAACTAGTTTTCGATAGAGTGTGAAGTCCACCAATCTGCACTTGGCCAGCGTGGTGGACTAAAATCCCTTGTATTATGCTTATGCCCAGCAACGGCACGTTAAAATGGCATAATTATTATTATTTCATTATACAAAATAAAAAAAAAAGAGTCGCCACTCCTTTCTTGCTTGCATCTGTTCTCGATTATACCAATTCGATAAAGGAGGAGGGTTTTGTTTAGAAGTGACATCACTAATTACCGCCACGCAACGTCACTGTTATATAGAATTAACAAAATTTCAATTTCTATTTTCGTTAAAAAGTTTTTTCTAAAATAATACTCGTAAACATTTGTGTTGTGTCAGAATCGAACCTATGTATATACAATCGTAATGCATAAAATAAATATGTTGGAAAATTAACACATAGCTCCATCTAGTTCCATGGAAAACTACGAGGCTTGTGTTATGGATACCAAGATAGTTGATACACTACACATATAAAACTTTAAATATATATATATATATATAAATATTATGAATATAAATACCCATGACAGGAGTACAAACACTTTGATCTTCACAAATGTTTGTACAAATGAATGCCACCAGCGGGACTCGAACCCGTGACCGCTGGCACAGCAGGTCACTATAAACTGAGCCAAACGTATCGTCGATTCATATAGTTCTATTAACGATCGATGGTTCGAGACAGGAGATGTATGTATGTAGTTAAACGAATCTTTATATTCCTAATCAACTACTTTGTAAGCGTATGTAGTAAAATTTATGATGTGTCGATATTTTATTTAATGGATAAGCAAATAAGTATATAAATTGTTTACCTTGTCCTCTTACAAACTATGCATCGTAAATCTTCAAAGGTCGTTTTAACCTTGCGTATTATCGTCATACGAGAAATATTTGCAACACTTATAAATTTGATTACCAAATCTATTATTATATTAATGCTGAAAATTTGTGTAAGCGAGCTAATATTTGTGTTTTTTAAATTTATTTTGACGAGTTGCAATAATTCGATCATTCACTCTCTGCAAGATTACGCACGTTATAAAATGCTTAACATGGAAGCATGCTATTTTATATTAAAATTTCTTATATAACTAAGGTATGATCGAAAAAGAAAGGAAAATCCCAAGACAGAATTATTGAAAAATTCAACCCCCAATAAATTAAATAAGGGTTGAAAAAAATCAGGTTGAAATCAGCTAAATTTATAAGTGGTGATTAATTAGGGTCTAGGAATGAATATATTGCCGGTGGGAAATTGCATCGGGAAACGTTAAACACCTAAGTGGACCCAGTTATGCAACAACCAGCCATGTGCGTAAAAGTACCAACAGAGTTATAAGCATTTTATTATAAAATATAAATAATACTTATATAAATATTGTTCAATTTTAAAATAACCAGAAAAACAAAACATAACCCAAGTGCAACTATCGACAGAAAAATGCTAATAACTCTGTTGGTACTTTTACGCACATGGCTGTTTTTTGCATAACTGGGTCCAATTACGGTTGAGACCTTTTCTTCAAACAGCTTTTTAATTAACTTTCAGTTATTTAAAACTAATTTACATATTTTAAGTCGGCATCAGGACCATTTTCATAGTGGAAAATCTGGAAACGCGCACCGCGTTTATGTCTTTAGTTAATTTATAATTAAAGTTATGTGCTTAAATATTAAATACAATTGATACACGTTTCGATCTAAATAACACGCTCGTTTGAACAGTTTGAACCGATTCACATTGTGCCATCAGGATCGGGTGATCGACCGTGTCTACACATCCTCTGGTCGTTGGTTCGAGTCCCGGTTCACACTCGAATAGCTTGGAACAATGGTTGCGGATGTGAGATTGAGACAATGGATGGACAACTTGATTGTTGACACTTTGATTTCCTTTCCTAGAAAGGTAATTTTAGGATAAAAGTTAATGACTTGCAAATTTTAACGTTTGGAATTGGATTTGGAATCTCAAACATGCCTACACATCGAGTTTATAAATTGGAGAACGGAGAAATTAATCTCTCTGTTTTCTCCGTCTTAAATTAGCTAAACATAGTATTGCGATCTAAAAAAAAATATAAACCATGCTTTTCACTTACTTTTATGAGTTCTTTATGTTTTGCTTGGCGTTTATAACAGTTCCGAAATATCGGCTTACCTCACAAAAATATTGTCAGTGACCATAAAGCTAAAATACTTTATACTTTATACATTTACATGTAATCAATATATTACAAGCAATTCAGTACCCTTTTCTCCTCTGTCAACAATTTTTTTTATTTAGTACCTATTGACGAGCTTTACTATCCTACTAATATTTATATGTTTGTGAGTATGTACGGATGTCTGGGTCATATAGATGTATGAATATTTGTTACTCTTTCACGTAAAAACTACTGAATGGATTTCGTTGAAACTGTACAATAATATAGCTCATACTCGTACATCAGAATAATACATAGGCTACATTTATCCCGGAATAATGTACGGTTCCCGTGGGATAGATTTATTTTTGTTTTTCTAGAAGCAAACACGAGCGAAGCGAGCCGCTAGTTATCAATAAAAACAAATGTGGTTGGATTTCGACACAATATAATCTATGCATATAATAAAATTTTAATTAAGCCGAATCTGTACGTTAAATATTTTTTGGGAAATCTTATTGAAATAAACATTATTATCGATACAGAGGCCGTATCTATAGTTATTAGAATTTTTGTATGTCTGTCTGTTTGTTACCACATCACAGAAAAACCACTGGAGGGATTTTGATGAAATTTGGTATGATGATAGCTGTAATTAGGGTCAACATATAGAATACTTTTTACTGCAGAAAAATATCTCATTTTTGAGAAAAAAATTTAGAAACTGCAATGTAAGAGTATACTAATCTGTAAACCCGAAGAATTTGGTTTTCAGACATCTGAACGCGGGCGGAGCCGCGGGCAATGCTAGTAAATATATAAAGTAAGATATTCACTATGTTATATATTTGAAGAAAATTTTGCTCCGATCTCTTTTTACAGAGTAATCGATACTATTGTCGTGTGCAAGCGCACGCGACGCTTCACGGGCGGGTAGAGGGAAACAATCGAAGAACAATAACGTCTCGGCTTATTGTATTATGCTCTAATGCCCTTAAGTACTCTATGGTTACATGGTTTTCAGTTACACCGTTATGTACAGTCATTAGATACTCAACTCTAAAAGAAAGATGTTTCTTCTTCACTACTTACTACTAATTGAAATTTCTTACCAACTATATGTATATTCTGTGAACTGCCTCGGTGGTGTAGTGGCTAGCATGTACGGCTGCACACTCGGAGGTCCTGGGTTCGAGTGCCGGGTCGGGCCAAGTTTAGTAACAGCCCAGAGTTGGGAAGTTGGCGGTGTTTCACCCCCGTGCCTCGGAGAGCACGTAAAGCCGTCGGTCCTGCGCCTTAACTCTCACTGGTCGTGTCGAACAGTCGTCCTACCAGAGTATGAGAGTGACAGGAATAGAGAGTGCACTTGTGTCTGCGCGTACACTTGTGCACTATAATATCTTCTGCGCAGTTGGCTAGTCTCAATGAGATTGGCCGCCGTGGCCGGAATCGGTCAGGAGAACATCATCATATTCTGTGATGATCAATTTTTTCGGGTTTTGGTTTTATTTCGATTTTTCATTCGAAACGTTTTGAATTTTGACGGGCAGTACAAGATTTTTTCTTTTTGATATATCCAATGCTACCGTAAATTTTAACATGACAAATTTTAGAAATACATTACATTTAGTACATTTGTTTAATTTTCATTTAAGTTATTAAGCAATAACAGACCACGTCGTTTCTAATGGTAACCGTTAATCTCATGCCTCGGAGTCCGGATGGGTGTGGAGCCTCACCCATCCTTTTGGTCGTTAAAATTGAACTTGCCGTTAACATATTTATAGGGCACTCCAACTATCTATCATTATCAAAATCATATTGTATTATAAAGAAGTTAAATTGTTTGTTTATATGTAAGATATGATCGCAGATCGATTCTTAAATTACTTTAATGAATTTAAAACTACGATATCCATAAGTAATATAGGCGAATTCTTATTTATGTACCGTGCGAGCAAATCCGGGCGAAAATTAATGTTTTATTATTTCAAACCATCATATTTATAACTAGAAATCATGCAAATATATTTTTTTATTTGCATGATTCTAATTCAATTGAAATATTTTCAGTGTTGTACAATATCACATTCTTAAGGGTGGCAAATATTTTCGTTACAACTATATGTAATAGTATAAGTAGTCCTAATTCAAAATAATGAAACTTGGCACATTGGTTGAAACAATTTTTTTATATTTATATTTTTCCCAAGCTTATTTATATTTTAAATATAACTAAATCAGCAATCGTCCCTCCCTCCCGTGACCATGATTGCTGTAAAACATTCGAAACGTCGCGTCGGGAACCAAAAATCACAATAAATCAGCGAAAAAAATCGAAAATATAGTTTTATTTAAAGTGTCAAATATTCGCGTAAATTTATATTTACGCGAAAGTGTTATTTGTATATTATTTATATTTGTATATATGACGATGTAAATAATGAAAAAATAATGTAATTTTTATGCATGTACGTCAAAGTTGTAACATGATAAATTACTGTAGAAAAATTATACTAAAAACTCTTGCAATAAAGCGTGTTACATATTTGCAGTGAAAAAAAAGATAAAATAAAGACACAATTTCAAACCATATTGTTCATAATACGTCCACGTTTGTGCGGAAGTGCTCTGTCGCGGCGCATTCTGTGCATCGACTCGTGAAATGTGCGGGTAACGACATATGAGATTAGGATACCGACTACTATATTCATATGTTTCTTCCATAATATCGCCTCTTGAATAATTACTTCCTTCATATACTGACTTGAAAATATTCATATTAATATTTATTTTTATATGATAGATACAGTGAATAGGCATTGATGAAAGGGTCTAATGTTCTGTTTCTGCGTAGGGTAGTTTTTTGGTCATATAAGATTAAGTATAAAAACTAAACTAAAATGACGTGTGTAATTATTATGTAGCCTTACAACTGATAATATCGTGTCATCAATCAAATTGTAATTTATGGAAAAATTATGTTCTTATATAATTGTTATTACTTATTATTAAAATATCTTATATTTAATTTAATCTAAGTTGTAGTTTTTGATTTCTAAAGAAGTATAGAGTCATGCTCTATTGGTGCGAGAAAGAACATCGACATATTTTTTTACATATAGGTAATTTAAAGATTAGGGATTTTTGGACTGTCACATTGATTAGTCATCAAGAGATATTAGAATATCAATTAACCTACATTTTGACCCTACAAAGTTTAGTTAGAGTCTACACAAGGTAAGGGTTGGTAAGTAGATGGGTGATTAGAATTCCGACTTTTTTCTACTAAAACTGTTTCCAATTATGATTTATAATGACAAATCTTAAGCACAAAGCCCGAACACGTACATTAATTAATATCTTGACATTTATTATCTTCATTTAAACCCTTTCGAAACAACCATATGCCACGATCTACGACAACTTAAATTACCCATTAAGCGAAATACCGAGACTATTACTCATAGCACCCCATAAACCGTTTTTTGATTTCTTTTATCGTTAAGTTCACTATTATCATCACTTCATTAGCTTAACGGCTTCAAGATTTAATATGAGTCCGTGTACGTCTGTTTTTGTAGTTTTGGTGGACACATAATATGTATATTTTAATGAATGTGATCACTAAAATGATTTCGTATTCGATTGATGAGAATTTCATGGTATTTTCTTCCATTCATTGGTTTATAATTCCATGAAAGGTTCTAAAACATTTAATTTATTTACCACTAGCGACTAGCGCTTCGCTCGTGTACCTCCTTATGTGCCTAACTAAGTCAGCCTATCTGTCGTAGTTTCATCCAAAGTAGTTCGATCAAAAATAAAGAATTCTATGTTATTCTAAACATGTATTACAAGTATAAAAATATATAAATCCGCATTTTTCAAGAAAAGTGGGAATTGCGGCAGGCATCTTCGTGAGAAGCGTAGTCACACGAGACGATCTCGCGAGTCTACCCGATATTGAGTTACACCAGTATAAGATATTGCTTTCTAATTTTGTTACTATGGCTATATTTTTGTTCCAATTTGCAAAACGATCAAGAAAGGTCAAAAAGCACGTAAGCTTCTGGTAAAGTCTCTAAAGAAATGTACAGAAAATAACAATGAAAATTTTCATTATTGAGCATAAATAAGTAATTAATTGATGATGAATATGAACGGACTTATTTTGAAATATGATCACCGCTCTGAAAGGTTTGACATTTCAGGATTAAACGTAATAATTATGCCCTCCACGACCGCGGACACGCCGGCGTTACAGTTAACAATAGATTTCTTAGAAATTTAATTTATTTCTTAGAAATTTACCCGGAGGTGTTAAGTAATTTTCGTACCATATATAACGATATGAATCAAATGATTTGGCTTGTGGATGATCTCTCATACTTAATAGGCTATGCCAAGGGTAGTTTCTTTAAGCGCTTCTAATAGCGCGAGCTTTCACTATATTATGTTTTTATTTGTATTATTATCACAAATTACGTCGTAAAATGTGACAAATAGACAGATATGTATCTATATATATGTATAAATATTTACTATATATTATTATAAGTATATTATAGGTAGGTTAAATAGTTTATTATTTATTACTGCTATAAAGTATGTGGTACGCACAGACCAATTGATTGTCTTCAAACTATCAGATTGAATTGCTTGCCACTCAATTCAACATGTGAGTGAAGCGTAAGAGGTTACCCTTTCCACGAGGATGTGGGATGCATCAATTTTTACAGCTTCCGCCTCTAGGGGAGACTGTGGGAAGTGCTCTTGAAATTATTTTTGGTTCCTTTGAACTGTACGTAAATAGTAACAGTACTCATTGTTTTTGTTACGTACATTAAAGTTAGTTAAATTTAGTCAATGTAGATAGTCTTAATTTAGTCAGTTTTTCATTAGGGTTGTAATATTATTTTCATCCACGTTTCGTCCATGTTCTTACTACGGTTTGAAAACTGTTCTGAACAAGGGTTGGATTAAAAAGAATTCTGCGAATAAAGATTCTGCGAATTTAGCTTGATTTTTTATTTCCGACATTTCGAATGCTTTACACGAATCATGGTCACGGGAGAGACTATTGGCCGATTTCACCAACGTCACCTAAGTTTACGGGATCCCCTAAGCATGTTTAGGCGGCTGTTATGGGACAGTTTCTGTTTCACCGACAGTTAGGGGTCACCTAAATGTTAAAATGCCTCCTAAATATATGTACTAGAAATACGGACTCAGACGATGGTAAAACGAAACTTAACTTAGGAGCTAGTTTAGGGGAACTTTTAAGCTAGGGATCCCATACGTAGCTTATGGGATGTTGGTGAAATCGGGCATATGTCTCTCAAATCCGCGAAAAAACTTAAAAGATAGTTACATATAAAAATGTATTAAGAAAGATTATTATACAGATATTATTTATCTCTTATCACTTTGTATTATTTATTCCAGTCATACAGTATGTACTAGTATATACATATGTATATACTTACTAACAATATCTGTAGTAGGTATATAAATGGGCATTCATAGGATGCGGGATGCTACTTCCGCTTGTCTATATGATACTGAGTCATTCGATCCATTTCAGACTCGCTTCCATTCATGATTAGGTATAATAGTTTGAGAACTGGTGAACGATCGATTTGTTATGAATTTTGTGACTTTTCAAAACTTATTAATTACTAGCTGTTCACCCTCGCTTCGTTCGGGTTCATTCCTAGGTTGCTTCACCATTCAAACTTACAACCCGATTTTCACCTCTTAAGGGATGATTTCCGGGATAAAAATATGAAAAATATCCTATGTCCTTCCAAGGGTCTCAAACTATCTTTTTACCAAATTTCATCTAAATCGGTTCCATAGATCCAGAGATTACCCCCTACAGCGTTACAAACTGACAAACTCACAAACTTTACCTCATTATAATATTAGTATAGATTATATAATATTAATTACTTTTCACTAAGCCCGATTTCAATTTAAAGGAACTATTAAATGTCAATTGTTGATAATTAATGATTATACTTAACGTACAGAATTAAAACATACTTACATACGTCCGATTTGATTACATCTTTTTTTGAAGTCGATAAATAGAAATTTTTGATCTTTCATTTTAAATGTTTTATTTAATAAATATTGGCGTAACGAGTTGAGTTACAAGAGGTAGTGTAACATAAGACCCCTCACGCTAGGATGTGGACGCAAGTTCCGCCCGTCTAGGGGAGAATGCAACGACTATTTGCTTAGTTTTATGGCTTCTGTTAGACGATATTGGTAGCTTAATTATTGTTTACTATATATACTCTATATTATAAACATTTTATTTTTTTGTTTGTTTGTACGCGCTTATGTCTGGAACTAACAGTGTGATTTGAGTTTTATGGCTCATTCA